GATAAGAATTATCTTAGGTGAAGGGAAGGACAGCACACACTACAGGGGAAGTAAGCACAACTGGACTAAACCAAAGCTAAGAAGTTTCCTGAATACAGTCAAACACACTGAGGGACAGAGTAGCAGGGGCAGGTGTCTGGGGACCATACTTTCAGGGGACAGCTAGGTCAATTGGCATAATGAAGCTTATTAAGAAAATGTTCTGCATCCTACTTTGGTGAGTGGGGTCTGGGGTATTAAAAGTTTGCAATCGGCCATCTAAGATGCATCAATTGGTCCCAACCACTTGGAGTAAAGGAGAATGAAGAACACCAAAGACACAAGGAAAGTATTAGCCCAAGAGACAGAAAGGGCCACAGAAACCAGAGACTTCATCAGCTTGAGACCAGAAGAACTAGATGGTGCCTGGCTACCACCAATGACCCCCCTGACAGGGAACACAACGGAGAATCTCGGATGGAGCAGGAGAAAGGTGAGGTGCTGAACTGAAATTCTAGTAGGAAGACCAGACTTAATGGTCTGACTGAGACTGGAGGTAACCCAGACAGCATGGTCCCTGGATTCTCTATCAGCCCAGAAATAAAACAATTTCTGAGGTCAACTCTTCAGACAGGGATTGGACTGGACTGTGGGACATAAAGTGACACTCGTGAGGATTGTGCCTCTTAGCTCAAGTAGAGACAAGAGACTAAATGGGCAGCTTCTGTTCGGAGGTGAGAAGGGAAGGCAGAAAGGGTTAGGAGCTGGTTGAATGGACTTGGGGAATCAGGTGGAAAGGAGGAGTGTGCTGTCATAGTATGGGGAGAACAATTAGAGTCACATAACAGTGTATGTATAAATTTTTGTGTGGGGAAAAAAGTTTTTTAAAAACTCATGAAAAGTTTTACACACAAAAAGAAACAATTTTTGGTGGTTACAAAGGAGGGGAGGTGTGAGGATGGAAAAACACTAAATAGACGATAGATAAATGGTAACTTTGGTGAAGGGTAAGACAGTACACAGTACTGGGGAAGCCAGCACAACTTGCCCAAGGCAAGGTCATGGAAGTACCATAGACAAATCCAAACTCCCTGAGAGACCAAATTACTGGGCAGAGGTCTGTGGTGACCAGGGTCTCGGAGAACATCTAGCTCAATTGTCATAACACAGTCTATAAAGAAAATGTTCTACATTCTACTTTGGAGAGTAGCATCTGGGGTCTTAAAAACCTGTGAGCGGCCGTCTAAGATACTCTACTGGTCTCACCCCTTCAGGAGCAAGAGAGAATGAAGAAAACTAAAGACACAAGGGAAAGATTAGTCCAAATGACTAATGGACTACAACTACCACAGCCTCCACCAGACTGAATCCAGTACAACTAGATGGTGCCCAGCTACCACCACTGACTGCTCTGACAGGGATCACAATAGAGGGTCCCAGACAGAGGTGGAGAAAATTGTAGAACAAAATTCTAACTCACAAAAAAAGACCAGACTTACTGGCCTGACAGAGACTGGAGAAAACCCAAGAGCATGGTCCCTGGACACACTTTTAGCTCAATAATGAGGTCACTCCCGAGGTTCACCGTTCAGCCAAAGATTAGACAGCCCCATAAAATAAAACGAGACTAAAGGGGCACACCAGCCCAGGGGCAAGGATTAGAAGGCAGGAGGGGACAGGGAAGCTGGTAATAGGGAACCCAAGGTCAAGAAGGGAGAGTGTTGACATGTCATGACAGTGTTACCAATATTATAAAACAATATGTATACCAACTGTTTAATGAGAAACTAGTTTGTTCTGTGAACCTTCATCTAAAGTACAATAAAAAAATAATAATAATAAAAAGAAAAAACCTTACAGAAAAAAAATAGGAGTGTGTGACAAAGATTGGAGTCAAACTTGTGAAAGTTTTCATGGATTTTATGTTAAAATAAATAAATAAATAAATGCCAAAGCCACACTAAATAGCTTCATATCCACAGAATACACAATAAACATTAGATAAGGGACAGTGATCAATTAAGCAAATATCAGTGATAACAATTACTCTAAATTAATTTCCATTTGCCAGCTACAATTCACTTGAAACTTTCCAAGCTCTTCCTCCTCCAGTTTCAAGATGTGCTTTAAAATTCTGTTGCTGTTGATAAAATGTATAATAAAATTATTTTTTTGATGTTAATAAAAAAAAGATAAGCACGTTGTCAGCATAAAAAGACAAGTTTCAGGCCATGTGTGTGGATATTTTTAGGTATCTTTTGCCTTTGATTCTTGACAAGAATTTTAGCAAGTGAATTATCTCTCAGCTTACAAATAGATCAGGCTAAGTATCAAAAAGAATAACCTGACAGCCAAAATAGGATACACATATAAAATATTTTCCTGCTGCCATTTTGCTTATGATCTCTTTATCATCTGTGCTATTTGCTGTAAAATCAGAACTTTGCTTACCACTCACTGAGAAAGCATAGTCATGTACTAAGAAGAAATTTGTCATAACTGAATGCATGGTAAACATATCTCCATCTCCATATTGGGGTCCATATGAATAATTGCATTCTGTGTTGCATTTCATGACCATCTTTAATAGCTCATAAAAGAATTATATTTTTTTGTAAAAACAGCGAGCAAAGTCATTCTCTTTCCTAAGTCTTTAATAAAACAGCCAAAGAAAGAAATGACAATTTCTGATGAGAAAAGAAACTGAAGGGCAATTTAAAATATATCTTGACTACGTTGTTCACATCTATACTTCTCCATTTCCATTGATACTTCCACTGTCGTGGTTCTCATTTCCACTCAACTAGATTTCTACAAAAAGCTCAAATTTCCCTGATTCTAGTCTTTTTACTTGCTTTCAAAGCCCTGTACACACTGTCATGATCACCTTCGTGCTAAAATGATTCCATCTAATCCCGTCATTTTTCTGCCTGAAAAAATTCAGAGTTCCCATTTATAACAGAATGAAGCTCAGACTCCTTATCTTGCTATGCATGGTGCTCCACGATCCGGTCTCCACATGCCTTTTGATTCACTTAACACTCGTCCCCCTCACAGCCTTTTGCTCCAGCCAGAGGAGACATTTTTCTATTGCTCACACTCTGTCTATAATTTCATATTGGTTCTTTGGCTCATTCTGCCCCTTCTCCATAGAATGAACAAACATTTCTTCCTGTCCCAACCTATTTGTATCGAGAGGAGCTGTCAGAGTTTTAAATACTTAAGGGTTTTATTTTTCTCAGGTAAAAAGAAGTCTAGAGATGCTGCCCAGTGCTGGTCATGTGATTTAACCTGACCAGGAAGAACCCTGGCTCGTTTTAGACTTTTTCCTTCTGCTTGTTGCCTCATGGTTGCAAAATGACTGCTCCACTCCCAGTGCCACATCTGCATTCCAGGCAGGGAGGTATACACGAAACAATCACTTGAAAGCTGTTTTCACTTTTAACCAGTTATTTAATGTTGTGCAAAGTCTTTCTATAAATTCTAGAGATGCAGGGAGTACTTTTAGATTGCTTGTCATTGAATCTCTCATTGTCTATTGAAGTGCTAGTATACAGAAAACATTTTCTAAGCAGTCATTGAGTACGTGTGTGTGTGTCTGCATCCCCTTCATCTTAAAGCAATGAAGTCTTGTTTCCATTGTCACATGTCACCTATTAAGATGTTAAGGAGTTCTACTTCTTTCACTTAAATTCTACTTGTTCTATATAAGTTTAGAGTCGTGGAAAATAATATTTGAAAAAAACAAAATTTAGAACACTGACATGATATCTCAAGGTAAAATATATAGTGATTAATGGAACTAGAATCAGCTCTGAGGTCCTTCGTCCGTAGCACCCACCACACTATCTGTTTTTCACTTGATTTCCTTTCCTACAAGTACTGCATGTCCTCAAATTTGTGGATTTCTTAATAAAAAGAAGTCATGTCTTCCCAAGCAAAAATTCTCAGTGAAGGCTTAAAATAAACTAACCAAAATAGCGAGGCAAATTATATTGATGTTTATTAAAGTAGAAAATCTCAGAGAACAAACAAAACAAGGAAATCTAGAATTTTTACATTTAGAATCTAGAAACTTTTGTATTTCACTGAGAAAGTGCATTGTATAAGTAAGACAATAAATGATAGAGCAGAAATAGCACAACTTACTGAAGTAGAGTACCCCTTAAAATAAATAAACTGCACTAATATTTCCTTTATTATTAGAACAAGTTTACTAATTTAGGATCATAATTTTTTTTTTTTTCCAAAAGCCATGGGAATTTGGATAGCAGTTAAAATAGCACGGTGTGATTGTTATGCTTTTAATTTGTGAAACATTTTTCTCCCTTAAAAAAATCCCAGAGCTTTTATACAAACATAATTATAAATGTACCTATATCACTGGTTCTAAACTCATTCTCTAAAATTTCTGTGAGAAAACCAAGCAGTCGTTTTCCTCAGGATCCTGACTCAGCACATTAATCTTATTTATTTTTAGTCACCTGTGCTTCTGTTTATAGCATATGAAATACTAGAACAAAGGTCCCGATGTTGAAAAGTCAACCCATGGACTCTGGCTGTTGAGCGAATAGCAGACACTAGAATCCACTTAAACTGTTCATATTCTTTAAAGGTAAAGTTCAGATCTGATCTGCTCGAGTTTCCTTCTAACCCTCATTTCTGATAGCAGGTAGCTGACAGGATTGACCCCCAAAGACCAGAAACATGCAGTGTGACATCCAAAGGGCTGAGGCACTGGATGGGGCTCATTTGATGCAGATCCTCTGGCACGACGGTGCAGAGTCATTCTACCCAGCTGTATGGCTGAGAGACAGCTGCCAGTGCTCTGACTGCTACCTGGAGTCTGCAAAAGCACGGAAACTTCTCATCGAAGGTCTGGATGTGAGCATTGGAATTACAGATTTGACTTTCGACAGAAAAAAGGTAATGATTTCTAGAAGTGGTTTCCTTTTCTCCTCTTTCTCTCCCAAATTAAATAAAGGAGCTCGTCTCCAATCATTTAAATAACTAATTAGTTTTCATCTGATTATATATATATATATATATACATATGTCTGTAATACTGTTTGCACAGTACATGGTGAAAGGTAAGCAAACTCAGTAAGTGGAAGCCTCTGTTACTCTCTATTTTTTTTATTACCATTATTTCTTCTTTTAAATAAAATTTACAGTATTGCTCATTATTTTTTCAGTACATAGTAGCCTTAAGAACACAATCAAAATTACTTCTACAATAAAAATAATGCTCACCCTTCTAGCTCAGTGGTGAAGTCACTTCTTAGGTTCACTGTTCAGCTGGGGATTGGACAGCCCCATAAAACAAAATGGGCCTAATGAGGCACAGCAGTTCAGGGACAAGGACTAGAAGGCAGAAGGGGACAGGAAAGCTGGTGATAGGAAACCCAAGGTTGAGTAAGGACAGTGTTGACATGTAGTGGGGTTATTAACCATTGTCATAGGGCAACATGTGTACTACCTGTTTAATGAGAAACTATTTTGTTCTGTAAACCTTCACCTAAAGTACAATTAAAAAAAATATTTTCCCAGTCAAAAACAAAACAAAAATAATGTTCAGTTTACTCACTTGTGAAATAGGGATGCCACCAGAACTTGCTCAAAGAGAATTCAAAGTGATAAACTAGGTAAAACATTTAGCATTGTGCCTGGCATACAGGGAGCACTCAAAATACAGTATTGGTTAATATTTTTAGTCAATTTAGTGGATAGATGTGCAAGGTTGTTCCAGGTTTCTTAAAGCCATTGTTCTCAAAACCACGAACCAAATGCCACCACCGCGTATTTCTTTATTCCAGATTTACTAGGATTCTTATCAGAAGAGAGAATATGACCAGCAAGTTCACCTTCTCCCCCTATTCTCTTGTACTCATTGCTACTCAGGGATTTTACTCTAGGTTTTATCGCTTGCTAGCTCAATGACCTTAGAAATGTTTTCTATTCCTCACCTAAAGAGTATGAATAATAGTAGTACCATCTCTACTACTGTTCTGAGGACTAAAGGGGTTGTTTTGATAAAGCAGTTAGTACCCGTTTACAGGAAGCCCTCAAAAGTGGTGGTTTTGTTATTATTACTATTAGTGTTATTATCCTTACTATTTCTAATAAACTTGGCAAGGATCTCAATCAATAGCTAGCTTCAAGTCATCACAAAAAGTTTGGAACCCACATGTTTACAACCACATGTTGCTGAACTTCAGGTCCAGCCAGGTTCTACTTTTTGCTTGGTATTTAGGATCCTCACTTTAAATGTATCATCCCCTTGTCTTGCGATTTCCTTGTTTTCCAAAAGCTTGCTCTATTCCTGTGAATATATGATTTTTTAAAAAAGAGAGATAATTAATTGGATTCCCTGATTATCTCAAATAACAGTCAAAACACATATGTCAGTGGAGCACTGAAGTAATTAGAAGCATAACGTACATATAGGTGATATTGGCTTTCTGTATTATAAGGTGTATATCACGTGGCCAGATGAACACTGCAGTGAATTTGAAGCTGACTGGCTGAAGAAAAGATGCTTTTCCCAGCAGGCCAGAGCCAAACTCCAAAGAGAATTGTTTTTGCCAGGTAAATCTGCCGTGGTTTTTAATGCCCTATAAAACTCTTCTAGTAAGGAGCTACTTGGAAGCAAATTCAAACCCTTGTGTGTTGGTTAAAATGTTGTTGTAATTTATGTGAAATATTTAACTAAAGATTTACCAATAACCACGGCCTCCACCAGACTGAGTCCAGTACGACTAGATGGTACCTGGCTATCACCACTGACTGTTCTGACAGGGATCACAACAGAGGGTCCTGGACAGAGCTGGAGAAAAATGTGGAACAAAATTCTAACTCACAAAAACAGACCAGACTTACTGGCCTGACAGAGACTGGAGAAACTCCGAGAGTATGGCCCTTGGACACCCTTTTAGCTCAGTAATGAAGTCACTCCAGAGGTTCACCCTTCAGCCAAAGATTAGACAGCCCCATAAAACAAAACAAGACTAATGGGGCACAACAGTCCAGGGACAAGGACTAGAAGGCAGGAGGGGACAGGAAAGCTGGTAATAGGGAATCCAAGGTCAAAAAGGGACAGTGTTGACATGTCGTGGGATTGTTAACCGTTATCATAAAACAACATGTGTACTAACTGTTTAATGACAAACAGTTCTGTAAACCTTCATCTAAAGTACGATAAAAAAAATTACAACATTATAAATAAAATAAAGATTTACCAATATAGATTGCTCTGGTAGAGAAGGAAAGGAATATAAAGCATGTCTGGATATTTTAAAGAAGTAGGAAACAAAGTGCAGCAAACTTATTCTTTGTATCCTAGCACTAACTCCGGCTCACTGCGGACACTCTGCAAGTGTCCACTGCAAAGAAGGCACAGGATAAGCCAGAGGCAGACTTGCCCTTCTTTGCAATTTTGTCTAAGGCCAGGGCAATATAAAATTAATAAAGCAGGAATTCTTCACCTGGCATCGATAGATGGAATTTTGTGATCCATGAGCCCCATGAAATGGTATGCACAGCATTGAGTGTGATGTGAGTGTGTGTGCATGGTGTGTGTGTGAGTGTGCACACATGCACGTGTATCTGGGGGGAATCTATATGGGTCTCAAGAGGATCTACAACCACAAAAATGTTCAGAAAAGCTGCAATAGAAGTCTTCAGTGGAAAAAGAAGAATTTACTATTGAGCAGGGCAACAAAAATAAATTTTTAAAGCAGGTATTACCAAAGACATAAGGAAAAGATTAGTCCAAAGGACTAGTGGACCGTGTCTACCACAGTCTCCATCAGACCGAGACCAGCACAATGAGATGGTGCCTGGCTACCACCACTCACTGCTCTGACAGGGATCACAATAGAGCCTCCCAGACAGAACTGTAAAAAATTTAGAACAAAATTCTAACTCACAAAAAACAACAACAACAACAACAGACTTACTGGTCTGACAGAGACTGGAGAAACCCCAAGAGTGTGGCCCCCGGGCACGCTTCTAACTCAGTAATGAAGTCACTCCTGAGGTTCACCCTTCAGCCAAAGATTAGACAGACCCATAAAACAAAACAGGACTAAATGGACACTCCAGCCCAGGGACAAGGACAGAAGGCAGGAGGGAACAGGAAAGCTGGTAAGGGGGCATCCAAGGTCGAGAAGGGGAAAATGTTGACCCGTCATGGAGTTGGCAACCAACGTCACAAAACAATATGTGTATCAATTGTTTAATGAGAAATTAATTTTCTCTGTAAACCTTCCATTAAAGTACAATTAAAAATTTTTTTTTTAAAAAAACAGGTAGAAAAGTATTTTTAAAATATAACACTTAGGAAATACACAATAATAGAGCTCAACCTTAAACAGTGCCACCGAGGCACTGGTGAGGGGTGGGTATGTGGATAATTCACTCTCTGGGTATTTTGAAGATTCCTCACATGGGATTATGTGAGTCAAAAGAAAACTTTGAAAAATATGATGACTTACTAGAAGCTTGACCTCTACAAACACACTGACAAAGCAAGTTTCCCTGAATTTTCTTTTCTACTCTTCACAAGATATATTTGATTGCTATCCCTTTGAGCTACTGACTTCAGACTGTTTGAATTTTGCAACACTTCTGGAAATTCTGAGTTACCCACCAAGATAGAGATTTTGACTTACTCCTTTCTTTACTATCCCTTTCAAATCTAAAATTCTCAAACAGATGCATGGTAACTCCCCATGGTTTTAAGTGCTGGTCTTATAACAATTTTCTGGGTATGGAAATGGTACTAATGAATCAACTTGAATCAGACTGTTTTCTTTTCCTTTGATTATCAGTAGGGTATGACATTATCCCTTTCCGCTTCAAGCACAGACCCATCTTGTCAAGAACTATGTTCCTCTATTCCTTGAGTTTCACCATTCTGACAGATGACAACGTTTTACTGCAGCATTTGCTACCTAAACCACCAGGAATCCATTTTCCCCATTATCAAGCCTGCTAGCTGGTTGAATCCATTGGGGTATCTGGGGAAAGACTGTTTTCCTACCTTCCTCCAATGAGTGCATTGCTAGATTGTTCAAGGAGTCTCCAATTGCATAACTGAGTAATAACTGTCTGGGTCAAATACCAGTATCACAAATGTATTATTATTTTTTATTTATTTAGATTTCGTTGGGTACGCAAAATATTTTTCCTTAACTCTGCCCTAATTCTGTAATCCTGTTGTATTTTACTTTAATTTCCTTCAAGTTCTTCTTTTGATTATCTCAGGGAATAAGAGCCAAGTTTTTATTATTATAGCTTAAGGTTTTAAGCATTGTGAAAGGATATGCCCACCCTCCTCCATTAATATTTCTTGACAAGTTCGGTTTTATAGCTAACATTTCTCGGTACTATCGGGCAGTAGCACAATGGAAATGATACTATCCTCAGTTAAGCAGTGGAAAAAACTGGTCATGCTGACAGGCTGCAATCACAATTAATATATGAAGAACTGACTGGCTGCTATTTGGGCACTGGAAAATATTTTAATGGTTTAAAACAAGATTGGATTTTTAAAATACATACTCAAGCTGTGCAGGTGGTGAGTTAAAGAAATTAATGGGCCATTTTTTGGAATATTGGTTCTATGACCTTTTGCCTGTAAAATTTAACAACTTGTTACACTGCCATTGCATATTTTCAAACATTTATACCCCAAAGCATGTAAAGAAACTCAATTACATTTGTGAAAGAATTTTTGGTTTTAGTCCTCAACGGCAATGTTTCCTCTCCTGCTTTTTCCTCAAAATGAAGGCTAGAGGCCTTTTAAAATCTGGTGTCAAGATTTTCCTTGACTTCCCCTGGCACTAGCTGTTGAACTCAAAAGTGAAAGACAAATGATGACAGCCAGAAAACACTTGTCATGGGGCAGTCATAGCTGAGGAAAGATGTGGATAATAATAATGCCCTCACAAATTTCTATTCGTTTGCACATGTACTGGGCACATTTTTTGGTGCCAGGAACTCTGTAATACCTTAGATAAAAATGACATGGTTTATGTCCTTGGAGGGTTATCAAGTCTAGAAGGGTATATAATAGCCATGAACACAAATAAGTATAATACATTATTTTAAGTGTATTAAGACAAGCGAAGAAGGTTAATGTTAACATAGAGAAAGGAATCTGCAGAAATGACGAAATGATCCTCAGAAGGAAGGTAGTACTTGAGCTGGGTTTTGAAGGATCAATCAGTTTGTTAGGCAAAGACAAAAAGGAAAGAAATTCCAGGCAGAATTTTCCATAGAAAAAGGCATGTGGAAAATCACAGAGCTGTAGAAAATATCAGGGTGAGTTTAGGAAATTGCAAGTAGTTGATATTGTTGATGCCAGACTTAGTAGGTGGGCAGTGGGTGGAGATGTAGGGTAGAGAAGAAGAAAGTGCCTTCAGTGTTGAGCTAAGAAACTTCTCTTAAAACATAGGCAAGGAAGACGTTTTTCAATGTGTTGCTGTTTTTAGGTGCCTTCAAGCTGGTTCCGACTCACAGTGACCCTACGTACAACAGAACAAAACACTGCCCAGTCCTGAGCCATCCTCACAATCGTTGTTACTCTTGAGCCCATTGTTGCAGCTACTGTGTCAGTCCATCTCATTGAAGGTCTTCTTCATTTTCACTGACCCTCTACTTTACCAAGCATGATGTCCTTCTCCAGGGACTGGTCCCTCCTGATAACATGCCAAAAGTATGTGAGATGCAGTCTCATCATCCTTGCTTCTAAGGAGCATTGTGTCTGTACATCTTCCAAGACAGATTTGTTCATTCTTCTGGCATTCCATGGTATATTCAATACTGTTCGCCAACACCATCATTCAAAGGTGTCAATTCTTTTGTCTTCCTTATTCATTGTCTGGCTTTCACATGCATGTGAGGTGATTGAAAACACCATAGCTTAGGTCAGGTGCACCTTAGTCCTTAAAGTGACATCTTTGCTTGTTAACACTTTAAAGAGGTCTTTTGCAGAAGATTTGCCCAATGCAATTGTCCTTTGCTTTTTTGACTGCTGCTTCCATGGGTGTTGATTGTCGATCCAGGTAAAATGAAATCTTTGACAACTTCAATCTTTTCTCTGTTTATCATGATGTTGCTTATTGGTCCAGTTGTAAGGAGTTTTATTTTCTTTATATTGAGGTGTAATCCATACTGAAGCCTGTGGTCTTTGATCTTCGTCAGTGCTTCAAGTCCTCTTCACTTTCAGCAAGCAAGGTTGTGTCATCTGCATAATGCAGGTTGTTAATGAGTCTTCCTCCAATCCTGATGCTCCTTTCTTCTTCATATAGTCCAGCTTCTTGGATTACTTGCTCAGCATACAGATGGAAAAGGTATGGTGAAAGGATATAACTCTGATGCACACCTTTCCTGACCTTAAACCACCTAGTATCTCCTTGTTCTGTTTGAACAACTACCTCTTGATCTATGTATAGATTTCTCATGAGCACAATTAAGTGTTCTGGAATTCCCATTCTATGCAGTGTTATCCATAATTTGTTATGATCCACATAGTCAAATGCTTTTGCAGAGACAGTAAAACACAGGTAAACATCTTTCTGGTA